GGTGATGGAGGCATCAATGAGTTTATCGCAAGACTTCTTCATGGACAATGTTCCCCATGCGATCGTCGAAAGCTGATATGGTAATTGCGGCTCGGCTTGTAGCTCCTGATAAGGCAACATAAAGCTGGCCGTGCGTAAATATCGGTTCTTGGAGTTCGATGCCGACGCGTGAAAACGTCTGGCCCTGAGACCGATTTATAGTCATCGCGAAACTTAAGCGAATCGGAAATTTCCGTCGTCGAAGTCGAAAGGGCAAAGACACGTGAGTTTAGTAACAATCGATTCGCGGTATGAAGATTGATGAACCCTTCTTGCATCCTGTCGCGAAGGTACAGATTATCACTCTGGAGAGGATCGAGTTGACGATTAATCTCGTCCCATTGCACAGTCCGTTCTTGACATCCAAGTTACGTAACAACATTACTATGCACCCCGTTTTCAAGTGCAATTCGTGTGGCGGGAGTGTGGCAGGCGACATCTTGTTCAAGAATTCCGTCGGGAAGTTGTACGCATCGCTGGGGTCCTCGACGATTGCATCGTCTTGACTCAAGAATGTGGTTTTGAGAGTCGGGAATTTATCGAGTACGATATCATTGATTCGGTGTGCTTCAGCATGTTTTGGCGTCAAAATGCATATTTCGGTAAGATCGAGATTTTGGAGATCAGAGAAAGCGGCCCCATAAACGTCATCGGCGAGTTTTTTTCCGGATCGTAGGTCTTGCGGGACTTCCCTGATAGAGGGCAGCTCTCCGTTTCCAACCTGGAGAAGTCATTGTCGAAAATTTGTGTCAGTCTCCGTCAATCGCATATTGTGCGTCAATTTAAGCTGATGGAAATGTTTCCACAAATCGGAGTGTTTGAGACACGACTCCACGATTTGGCGTCGAGATCCTTCCTCGACCACTGGCAAAATTTGGCGAAAGTCACCTCCGAGAACCATAGTTTTCCCACCAAAGGGTGCGGTGTTCTGCATGATGTCTTGAAGTAAGATGTTGATTGTCTCTAACGCGGCTTCAGGAGCCATCGGAGCTTCGTCCCAGACGATGATGTCGGTTTCGCGTAGGTCTTGAGCTTCTTCCGATTGACGTTTGATGCTCGATGAGCGGCTATTGTCAGGAACAATCAGTCGAAAGGCAGAAGTCACAGTTCGACCGTTTGGTAATAAATTAGCTGCAATCCTAGTCCAGGCAACGTTGAGCACAGTGAGCTTTCTTGAGACGGCTAGATGATACATCGTCGTATAAACGAAAGTTTTTCCGCTGCCACCGGGGCCGTCAATGAAGAAACATTGACCTTGTTGGCTCCTCGTTGCTTGCAAGATAGTGTCAACAACCAACTTCTGCTCGTGATTGAGCAATCGATATCTTTGGTTTCCTTGAGACTGATGGTGTTCGAGATCGAGAGCGGTCATGCCACAGAGAGGCGGCACCTCAGGAATATCAAGCGGTAGAATCGTTTGAACATTCCTGCCGAGATCCTCGAGCCGACGTGCTATGTCATGGAACGCTCTGGTAACAGCAGTAGCTGATGTCATGCCAGCATTAAGAAGTCTTCCATGAGGTATCCTTCAAACTCATGCCACAGTTCAACTGTATAGGGTGGTATCAAGTCTGCGAAGGTGAGTAGAGCGACGAAAAAACTTCGCAGTTGACACGGCATCCGTAGAGCAGCAGCTTCTTGCATAGAATGGGAAAAATCGAATCGTCCCTCAAGTACTCACTCGCCCTGGCTGCTTCGACGAAAGATGGATGCACAACCCCGTTGACGGTTCGAACATCTTGATAGGACGTGAAACCCTTCCCATAGAGAAGCAAAAGTCGAAACGCGAAACGCTCATGGTCTTGAGGACTGACGAAGTACATCCGCCCAATTGTTTTCGTAGTATCGCGTTTTCGATCTTGCCACCTTTCATTCTTGAAAATGAACTTCTCCGGCATTCCATTGTAGCGAAGCTCACGGCTATCTATCAGATCTGGAGGAAAGCATCCGTGCTCGTTTTCCGAATCCTGACACCGTGCGTTCTTCTCAAAAAAAGCCGTCAAAGTGGAGAGACGGTGTCTCGCTGCCGCCAATGCTGATTCTTCGGTCCCCGCTTCGAAGCGCACAGTCTCGAACCCCGGCAGATGAACTTGCAATCTCGTAAGGGCATCACTGCGATCGCTCATGGCGAAGCCGAAGATTCGATGAGCTGCCTCTGGGGCGCAAACATATCGTGCATCCCAATAATCGGTGATCTCATCCAAATCTTCGTCCTCAGACTGTGCTCCTTGATGCAACCGGAGTCTTGCGCGATCTGGTCCCTTATAAAGGTACTTAAAGAGATATTTGATGGCGTGAAGGAGAGCACATACCTCGACGTTGATATGAGCTTCAAACATCAGCGATATATATGGGCAATAGGGAACGAATAGTAGTGCCTCCCTGCTCCTCCTCTCCTGGTGCAGGGTCGACGGGGCATGCGTTAAGACAAGCATTATTCCATTCCAGAGTCTCGTGGAAACTCTGAATGGACTTGACTCGGCGTACGCCAAGCTCCTCAGTCGCTGCCTTAGTTATAGGATACATCAGAGACGCCAGCTCGCTCGCAGGATCCGTAGAAATTTGGAAGATCTTCGCAGCCCTACCGCTTCCGACAACTCGCTGGCTATGTTCTCTCGAGCTATCGGAGAGTTCCTCTGTCGTCCAAGAGCTAGCCAAGTTCATGGGAGGTGCCACGGGTGATATACATAGGTCGTGATGCCGGACGAGAGCGCGACTTGACTAGTGCCAAGCGTAGATTCGAGCTATTGGTTGCCTCCGAGAGGAAACGACAGTGTCAGCATCGGGCTTCTGTGGCTCCTGAGTCTATCCAGAGCACTTCGATTCGACCTGAAGACATAACGGAACAGATTTTGACGATTTTCGAACGGGGAAAGGCGAGGGAGTCGACTCCTGAAAAGACTCATGTGAAGAATTTGATGTCTTGCCTGGATTGTGTTCTCCCTACGAGCGTGCCTTCTGGAAGAGCCTTCAGTCGAGCCAGAAAGATCAGACATTACTCCCGCGAGCGTCTGATCGACGAACGATTCCGGCGAATCATGTTCGTGCGAAGCATGCTCCGAATCCATGCGGCAAGAGATTCGGATTTCGGATCTGAAGCAGGGGACTCAGAAGATCCGGAGCGTATACTCAAGGACATGTCTGAAGAGCGGGGTTCTACTTCTTAATTTCTCGGACGAATGTGTGTTCATCGTAGATCGATATGGCGTGGACGATCCATCAATCGTAACGGGGTAGAACGGGACCTTGCTTTGATTCAAAGAGAGGATTCATTGGGAATCAGGGCTAACTAAGTTCGAATGTCGTCTTGCTCCAGTAAACAAAATACGATTGAGAAAGCACTCTATGGGAACGAATACAGTATCTCCCAGTCCGATGAATGAATATGGAAGAAGATGGAAACTTGAACATACCGAGCTCACAGCTTCAAGCATCTAAAGTTCAGAGCGACAGCTCGATCAAACTTTCTTATTCGCAGAGCATATCTTTTACGGACTAGACCACGCAGCCAAGGTTTAACGTCCCGGGTACTACTATTCACAAGGGGATTCAAAGAGCGAATCTACCAGGGAGGATCAAGGCGTAGTACCTGCACTTCCGTGAGGAATATTTTTCCGGCAGCAGGGTACAACCCCACGCCACCTCCCGCGCGAGCGGCGTCGTCGCCACTATGCAACTTCGCAAGAGAGGTGACCACCAGTCAACCACCCGACGGTTATTCGCAGAGCATAAAAATCATGAGCCTACAACGGCTTATCGAATTCTGATGACCTTCATGTATTCGAATTTCGTGCCCGCATCCCGCAGCCGAGACCCAAGTCTCGGATCTTCAATTTTGTCGGTGAGAAATATTATATGCATCAGGATTGAGATAAGCTGAAAAAATGATGAGATCGGAGCAGAACCGAGCATCAAGGGGCATATTCAGAGTTGGGCCAGGCGGGAGGCGGGTATTCACGCTACCGTGATGATCCGTAATCGGCAATTCGGGCCGTTGCGGGCCGTCACGGATTGACACGGTCCGCTACGGAGCGCATGGTCCCGTCACGCCCGCAGTCCGCAGTGGAACGTATATACGCATGTACGTACATGAGTTCCCGAATCGGGAACTCATGAATACAATAGAAGAGCACAGATCTCGGAGTCATTGGAATTATCCTTTCTCTACCTCTAGTCTATTCGTACAGAGATGTCTCTCCCTGTTTTTTCATTGGCTCGTCTGTCTCCGATTCGATTCAGATCCACGAGCCTGGAAGGATCGGATACGATACAGCGTACAGCCCTCGCGGGCCCTTTTTTGCGGTTAGTTACTATTTCGCGATATCTCCCACCTCCTACGATCTCAGTGTAAGTCCGGCCGCCACATCAAAAGATGAAGAGGAAGGAGGTAGGTGAGGCTCTGCAGGTTTCCGGGGGACCGCCGGAGTAATTTCGATATGATATGAGATGAGTGACCGATAGCATGATGAGAAACACCGGCGGGCAGGATTTTTTCCCTCCCGGGAGTCCATAGAGATTTACGGGCTTCCTTAGAGTTCAATGGTGGGGTCTCCGTTAGGTCCCTGGGTCTTGTGCTTAGGGTGTATTTAGGAGTCCCTCGGCCTCGGAGACTTCAGGACAGCGGCTCGAGCGGATCGCACCGACCGCGGAAATTTCCCACCTTGCAATAGTTTAGGGTTCAGGGGAATGCCCGATCACAAGCGGCCGCTGGGCAAAGATCATCGGCAATATTGTCTCCATGTACCACTTCGCGAATATCCCTCAATCCCTCATTCTTCCGGAACAAGCTCCCTCCCAAACCCCACAGAGAGATTTTCATATCACACGTTCGTCCGTTCAAGAAAAAAAACGCCGTTCTTTCGTCCGAAACAAACAACCTTGTTTTGAGAAGAAACGCCGTTCTTTTGTTTTTTCGGTCTCCGATGATCTTCGCTGTATATATGTGATCGTCTGCTCCCGCTTGGCTACAGACTGCCCGGCGATCATCACTTCGTGCTGAGAATTCTATTGTCACTTAGAAATAGTTCTCGAAGGAGGAATTTCGAAGCAGGCTCACAATGCCTGACCCCAAATCCAAGTAAGTTCTGCACAGTTCAGAATGAGATGGGGTGTTCTCCGAAGCGTAGATTGTGAGCCCATAAAAAAATGACCGGGCGGCTTTGAGAAGTGGCAAGTCATCATGCTACGTTGCTCAAACGATCGCTGTATTTTCGGCATTTGTCTTCGCCTTCGCTCAATTTCTCGATTGATCTCCGCTGCAGAATCGAGACAGGGGACACGGGGAACAGTGTGCCCCGCAAACCGACGTGAGTTTTTCTTATTGAGATTCTCGAACGCATTCCTTGAGTTCTTCGGGAGGAATGATTCATAAAGCGGTCGCGATTCATTGGATCCGGGCTCTGAATTGAGCTCCGGTGTCGAGTTACCCTGGTAAAGGCTGAAATCGAGCATCGCTCCGAGAGAATTGACACCCATCATCGCTGCCGAATTCCCGAGATCACACTGCGGTCGCGATAGTTCAGAGGACTTCTTCGAGACTAAGCTGCTACATAACTTAGCTGGTTGTACTCAGTGGTAGTAATCGCCAACGGCAAAGCCTCTTGTGTTCTTCTCATGAGGGGGAATGAGCTCTCCCCTCATCTGTTGACCAGCAATGTCTCCACACGCCGATTACCGATGCCACCGCCGAGGATTCCACCCTCGATGAGCATTCCTAGGTCAAATCAAGACAGATGGGAGATTGCCGAATTCTGCCGCAACTCGCGGGTGGCTAGTTTCTCGCTCCGCGATCGACCCCGAGAAGCAGAGGCTGTACCCGACATTAAGGAACCTGATTGGACCGTCGATCGGCTACTCGATGGTGATTTCGATGAATGATCGGGTACTCTATTCTCAAGGGAGAGCGGACGGCTATGAGTGCATAGGCATCCTGGTGCAGATCAGCCTAGATTTCTGGAAGATGAACCCTGAGTTTATCATTGTGAGTTTCTCTAATGGGGGAGTGTCGCTTTTCCAGCCCCGAAGACATCGCCACCGCGATCCTGAAGCCAAAGGACAAGCCCAACAGACTCCTCGTCGATGAAGCTGTCAACGATGACAACTCCGTCATCCATCTCTCACAAACGAAAATGGATGAATTGAACCTTTTCCGCGGAGACACCGTTCTTCTCAAGGTGAGCCAGGAGAAGATGTGCATCGATCCGAGTCATGAATGAATGCTCTATGAAAGCGAGCATGAGACCGAACGTCCATTGAAAACGTCCCAAATCATTCTAGGGTCGCAAACGTCGCGAGACGGTCGCGATTGTTATTTCGGACGATACGTGCCCGAACGAGAAGATCCGGATGAATAGGTGTATTCGTAACAATCTCCGCGTACGTCTTGGGGACATTATATCCGTTCAGGGTTGTCCCGATATCAAATACGGGAAAAGGATCCACGTGCTGCCCATCGACGACTCCGTCGAGGGCTTGACCGGAAGTCTCTTCGAGGTATTCCTCAAGCCGTATTTCCTCGAAGCCTACAGGCCGATCCACAAGGGAGATTTGTTCATTGTTCGCGGTGGCATGCGAGCCGTCGAATTCAAAGTGGTAGAGACTGATCCCGCGGGCTATTGCATCGTCGCCCCCGACACCGTCATCCACTGTGAGGGCGATCCGATCAAACGAGAAGAAGAAGAGGAGAGCCTCAACGAAATCGGTTATGATGACATCGGTGGCTGCAGGAAGCAGCTGGCTCTGATCAAGGAGATGGTGGAGCTCCCACTGCGCCATCCGTCACTGTTCAAGACCATCGGAGTCAAGCCACCGAGAGGTATACTGCTCTACGGACCTCCCGGAACGGGAAAAACGCTCATCGCTCGCGCAGTCGCCAACGAAACCGGAGCTTTCTTCTTTTTGATCAATGGGCCGGAAATCATGTCCAAGCTTGCCGGTGAGTCTGAATCCAACTTGCGCAAGGCGTTCGAGGAAGCTGAGAAGAATTCGCCTGCCATTATTTTCATCGATGAAATCGATGCCATTGCACCGAAACGAGAGAAGACCCACGGTGAGGTCGAGAGGAGAATCGTCTCCCAACTCCTTACCCTCATGGACGGTCTCAAACAGAGGGCTCACGTTATCGTCATGGCCGCGACTAATCGTCCGAACTCGATCGACGCCGCTCTGCGGCGATTCGGACGTTTCGATCGCGAAGTCGACATCGGTATCCCCGACGCAACTGGACGTCTCGAAGTTCTACGTATCCACACGAAGAACATGAAGCTCGCTGACGATGTCGACCTCGAGAAAATCGCCGCGGAAACCCACGGTTTCGTCGGCGCCGATCTGGCCGCTCTGTGTTCAGAGGCTGCTCTGCAGCAGATCCGTGAGAAAATGGATGTCATCGATCTTGAAGACGATCAAATCGACGCCGAAGTGCTCAATTCTCTCGCCGTCTCCATGGAGAACTTCAGGTGGGCCATGGGCAAGTCTTCGCCTTCGGCTCTCAGAGAGACTGTCGTCGAAGTTCCCAACGTGAGCTGGGAGGATATTGGCGGTCTCGAGGGCGTCAAACAAGAACTCCAGGAGATGATTCAGTACCCAGTGGAGCATCCGGACAAGTTCCTGAAGTTCGGCATGTCGCCTCCGAAGGGAGTCCTCTTCTACGGACCGCCCGGTTGCGGAAAGACGCTGCTGGCCAAGGCTATCGCCAACGAGTGCCAGGCGAACTTCATCTCAATCAAAGGTCCCGAGCTGCTCTCTATGTGGTTCGGTGAGTCCGAGTCGAACGTGAGGGATATTTTTGACAAAGCGAGAGCTGCGGCTCCATGCGTTCTGTTCTTCGACGAGCTGGATTCCATCGCGAAGTCTCGAGGTGCAAGCGTGGGTGATGCGGGTGGTGCCGCCGATCGTGTCATCAATCAGATCCTTACTGAAATGGACGGTATGGGAGCAAAGAAGAATGTTTTCATCATCGGTGCCACCAACAGACCCGATATCATCGATCCCGCAATCTTACGTCCTGGTCGTCTCGACCAATTGATATACATCCCGCTTCCGGACGAAAAGTCTCGCATGCAAGTTTTCAAGGCATGCCTGAGAAAGTCTCCGATCGCGAAGGATGTCGACATAGGATTCTTAGCCAAAATCACTTCTGGTTTCTCCGGGGCAGACATCACCGAAATCTGTCAACGTGCTGCGAAAACGGCAATCAGCGAAAGCATCCAGAAAGAAATTCAGCGTGAGAAGGTCCGTATCCATTGATTCATTAATTTTTGAACTCTGCACTCTGAATTAGAGTCATTATAATTCTCTATGAGTGAAAAGAATTCGATGTCCAATCGGGAGATGGTGGTGACGACTAGGAATATATTCACCATGCTAGAAACTTTTGACCGCGGAAGGCCTAAGGACGCTCTACTGTTTCCTTGCAGAACCGTGCCGCAGGTGGCAACGCCATGGAAATGGACGAGGATCCGGTGCCCGAAATCCGCAAAGACCATTTCGAAGAAGCAATGAAATTCGCCCGGAAATCTGTCAACGAGAACGATGTTCGCAAATACGAGATGTTCGCTCAGACTTTGCAACAGTCACGTGGTTTCGGAAACAACTTCCGTTTCCCGACGCAGACTCCTGCCGCGGGAGGCAATCCTGGTGGTCAAGGCAGTTTCCAGAACGACGAAGAAGACGATCTTTACAACTAGAGACTTCAAATTTCCAACGTCATAGGCCGATATGAATTCATTTACGGAGATGGGAGCATTGCTCAGTGAGACGAAGGGGCACCCGGTTCACGGTTTGGTCTGTCCGAGATCATCTGATGAATTCTTCAGCCCTGCAGCAAGACGGCGTGGTGAGGAAGGGGAAAGGCATGAGCTGAGAAGAGACGAAAGAGAGGAAGAAACAACTTTGAGATGAAAAACAAAACGAATAAAATTAAGGCAGATCAGAGATTCCATTCGATTCTAGCCTCGCGGATGAACTCGCTCCGAGCCGAGCCGTAACCATTCGGGATGCATCGTCTGTCCTGAAGTGCCGTTGTTTCCGATTTCTCCGATGAAATGCTTGTACTATCGTACTTTCACGATTCCTCCATTCTGAGGGCGAGATGGGGATTCTGGATCGATGTCGTTCGACATGATGATTATTTGTTTTGCGAACGACTTGATGCTTGAACTTTCTCAGGAGACTTTCGAATTCTATGCTGTCGTCGTGTTGTATCACTGCTTCCCTCGACAATACATGAGAGTTCACTCTCCCATTTGGACTCATCCATGATCTTCGGAGGGGGTGACGGTGACTTACGAGTAATATTCAGAAAGTGATCCGTGATCATACAGATAAATATATTATACCCGGTCAATCGAAAAATATGATTATTAAATATATGAATAAAGATTGTCTAGAAAACTTTGCCTCCCTTCTTGCAATGAAGCCAGATGAAGTGAGCGCTGGGAAGAGATACAGTTCCTCCTTGACTCTGATGTTGGAGACTCTAGCCGGAGGAAAATCTCATGTGACGGAGACTGGGCATCACTTCCCAGGGAGCTTTTCGATTCAGAGCCCATTCGGAGCTCATGTCCCCCGTGCGGGAGGCCCACCCCACCTTTCCTCATCCGCGAGCATAGCCGTTGCGGACGACCGAATCTCGACTCCTGCCACTCCTGATGGCGACAGCATCCGACAGCAGCCCTCACTCTTCGAACACTCATCAAGAATGCAAGAGTATTGGCTTTTATACCCCCCAGTCTGCATCGGGACTGTTCGTTCCGACCGGGAATGGCTCCACGTGCAAGGAGTCCTCGCACTTTGAAGAGAAGCGAAGTGAGGACCTCTTGACCACGGTAAGAAAAACTTCACAGCTGAGGGGAAAGGTGCAGAACGAAGCTATCTAGCGTAGGCCCCCTAATTGACTCATGAGAGAGGGCTTCAAATTCCATCACATCGGAGTTCCGATTCATGGGGAGACTCCGGTGCAGGCAGGCAGGAGGACCGGCTGTCGCGAAGCAGATATAATGCCAGGATCGGAACCCCGGGGGGAAGTTCACACGAGGTAATCATGGTCCCGAGGAAGGCTCGGGTCCATGGAATCAGGCGAGTTGCTGGCTCCCCATGCGGGTGTTTCCTCGGGCGGTGCCTCGTTCGCTTCCGGAGCCGTTGTCGGGCTTCCTGGAAGTGAGACTAGGCTCAAGGAGCGGTGGTGGGTTTTCAGCAGCGTAGATCGCTGATGACGGCAGTCGAAGTCTAACAGCTGGAGGCGGTAAGGGAGGTGACCGGTCATCCCTCTGGGAAGATTGGGGATATCGATCGGCCATCTGGCCGAGGAGCCGAATGCTCTACTCGCACTGAGGGGGCCAGACTTCACCATCGGACACCTTTGAAAACAGCGAAGAATTCCGCAGAATTCACCCGGCAGAATGGCAGTCCCTTCTCGACGACCTCCCGCTCCGAAAACTCGAATCGAGCTCATGAAAGAGGATATACCTCATTCCGGGTGTTTTGCGAGGGGACCTGTGAGCTATCCTCAGAGAACCGTGAAGCTTCCCTCCCAAGTCAATACTCGACGTCGGCCTGATTCTAGGGATTGAGCAGGAGTGCTCAATTTGAACCCGAGAAGGAAACGAATTCGAATAAAGTCAGATTCGACGAGGGAAGCATCGATCGAGGAGGCTTCTGCGTGAAACATGCCCGAGAGAACTCAGTCTATCACGTCAGGCTTTCTCATCCGATTTTCGTACAGACTAATACGGCGAGCGTCGCAGGAAAGCGAAACCTCACAAGATCCACCATCGGAGTATGACTGGAGGAATATTGGGAGGAACCGCCCCATCCCGCTCGAACTTCCAGCAAAGATTATCCGCAACATTGCTCCACTCTCCAAGACATCAGATTTCATCAGAGCCCCCGAACCCCTTGTCTGCGTTCTTCCGTCATATCGTTCAGTGCCGATTGCACGTCATCTCGACTCTACATTTAGCCGCACGCTGACTAATACGAGATCGCGGACAGGCCACGTCGTATATTTTTCCGGGAACGTTTGAACGTTAATCGACGGAACGCGGAGCGAGTTCCGCAAACCGCGCCTTCCGCGCACTAAGTCGTTGTCCCTGATCAGTGCTAGCAATTAGGCAACCTAGAATTTAAGCAAAATTACCCGTTTTTTTCGCACCAAATTCTAAGTAATTAAGTCCAGTCAACAAGCTGGTTCTTCCGGTAACGAAATTGTGTTCACCCCCATCAAAAGTCAACCCAGCAGCGCCGAGAGATTTCACCGCTGAGTCTCAAGCATCTCCGCTTGTTTCGAGAAGAAAAAACGCCATGGCCGGCAGCAAGTGGCACGACCAGGTGAGCTCCATGTCTACATTCATCGAGGCTTGACCGGGGACACGAGAGCGTTTATTCTGCAGCCTTACTCCATCGTTATCAATATCATGACTACCTCCATAGCCGAATCGCTTATCGATGGAGCTGCGCTTACGTGCCCTACTTCCGAGCTCCGACAACCTCCCCGTATTCGATAATAATCATTATTATCCGGAATGATCTATCATCTCTCGACCTCCGTGCCGGGATGGCCTCGTCTTTTCTCCCCGATTCTTGCGGTCGTGTGTTCGGGCTCATCGAATTCGCTGACTGCTCGGGAGGAGCGAGTGAGCGAAACAGTCGGAGGTGCTCGTTGGAGCAATCATCCGGAAGACCCCGCATGCGTTTGAAAACTCGGAATATCGGGGAAAAGCTCGGCGCCTGCGAGTTATTTGAGTCGAAAAGCTTCCTATCCGCTAAGGAGAGACGAGACAGCCAATCGAGTCAACGAGCGTCGCCGAATGATATGACGTCATCGCAGACGAGCGAGTAGCATCTCCAATACTCATGCGGTCAGCTCGTTCATGTCAAATCAAGCGCTCTGCTATCCTCGCATCAATAACCTGCATTGCGGGGGTTTCACTCGCGATAGAGATATTTCGAAAGCCTTCCGCAGCGCCAGCGATTCAATCCACACAGACGTCTCGCTGGGAAGTTCGGCGGCGGTACTCTCGTTGCGGCAGCGCTTCGTTGTCTCGGTATACAAATATCATGCTCGGTAACTCACAGCTCGCGTTTGCTCTTTTCCAGTCTGGAATGGTCCCACAGGAAACCGGTGCCGACCAGCTCCCAGCCGAAAGGGAAACGGGTATCGTGGAGAAAATGCTCATCACCTATGGATTTATCCGATGCTGTGACAGACAGGCGCGACTGTTCTTCCACTTTTCGCAATATACTGGAAACCTCGACCATTTGAAACCAGGAGACGCCGTAGACTTTGAAATGACCTTCGACAAGAAGAGCGGAAAACCTATTGCCGTTTCTGTGACGAAGATTCCGAGCGACATTGCCAGAGGAGCAGGGCAAACACCAATCAATGGTGTGTAGGCTCTCCCGTGTCGAGTCCCAGTTGCTGATGTCTGATATCATTATTTTCCGTCCCTCTCGCTCGAATGGAGACAATACCCTAAATGGATGTAATTTTCCATCCTACAGGAGTCATCACAACCGAATTGAACGCTGAGGGTAGAGGCGGCCGAGTTGCCTACGACAATTGTGGCGAGTGCTTCTTCTTTGAGTTTTCTCGAAAGGACCTCTGCGACCCCACTCAGAGAGGTCCCCTCAATGGACAAGATGTCCAGTTCCTCGTCATTCAAAGCGCTACTGGCAGACTCCAAGCGACCGACGTGCGTCCTGTCGTGTTAACTCCACAACAACAACAGCAGCAGCAGCAGCAACAGCAGCAACAATCTCGCAAAGCTCAACAACATTTCATCACAACTCCAATGGTGTACCCCAGCATGGTGATGCCTATAATGCCTGGCCTTCCAACGCCTCAAGTACTCGCAGCGTACAATCCCGGCTCCGCTCTTCAAGTAACGCACGTAGTTAACGGAAGCCAATCCGTAGGAGTCAACGGACGTATGCTACAGCCTTCTCTCAATGGAAACTCTGCATCAGCAAAAGATGCCGATGCTTCGGCGGGTCATTCTCAGGCGCAGATCGCTGGTCATAAAGTTAACCCCAAAAACTCTCTCAACGTTCAACAAAGTACCACCATACAGCACTTCAGCGGACAATCGACTAAGCAAACCAACTCAGTCCAGCAGCCGGGACATCAGGCGGCTGGCAGCCTCAAGTACATCGGGGCTCCACCGACGACGACGACGACCAACACCTCAACATCTGGCTCAATGCAATCGAAAGGGCAGCCTAAGAACTCGAGAAACTCCAACCGTCTGGGAGACGACGAAGAACAAGAAAATCACAACCAGCGGTTCCAGGGAGTCGTCTGTACGTTCAAAGACACATTCGGCTTCGTCGAACGTGCCGATGTTGTCAAAGAGATTTTCTTCCATTGCAGCGAAGGCTACGACGGTGAGACGAATGAGATTTTTTTCTGCCCTATAACGAGCATCATCAGCATCTAATTTTCCGTATGTTTGCTCCTGTATCATGAGGGAGCTCATTTCTAAATGTGTTTCTTCTCCGTGAAGGCCTCGCTCTTGGAGATGACGTGAGCTTTGATATAGCCACTCGTAACAATCGTACGGTGAGTGAGGATGATTTCATCGAGGCAGAGAAGGAGTTTCGGGAGGGGGGAAGGGGGAGAAATAGCTCGCGGGTTGCCTGAACCCACCTTCGGAATTCAAGGATCCTGACGGTTCCACCTCTCAAATTCCTAATGGGGGCTTTTCTTCAACAGGTGGCTGTAAATCTGCAACGTCTTCCATCGGGTACAGTAATTTTCAACGACCTGGAAGAAAACGTTCGAAAGTGAGTCCCTAGTAGAAGAGAATAGAACCGAAAGAGCTCGTCAACTCCCTGCCGACGAAACGAAGGGAGCTCCAGCTAACGATCGACTTATTCCCCAGGGGAACTATAACAAAGTTGTACAATCCGACGGAGGAGCCTCTGAATGGAAGGGTGGTCTGTGAAGAGAACGGCGAGGAAATTCAATTCGGATTCGGGGACCGTGATCTTGCTCCGTCGCTATGGACTATGAAAAGTGGCGACCCGGTCACCTTCCAGGTTGCGACGGATCGTCGCGACGGAGCGAAACAAGCCACGAACATCATGTTGGCGACCTCGGCACCGGGAGCATTCGCTAGGGAGACCCGACTCACTGGCACCGTCGCAACATTGAAAGAGAACTACGGCTTCATCACTACCGAACAAGACAACACTAAATACTACTTCAAGCTGAACGAAGTGCTAGATCTCGAATTGAGAATCGACAACGTGGTGCAGTTCTCTTTGGGCTCCGAGTTCCAGCACGGCAACCAGAGCGGAGGCTCGATTAATAACCGTCAGGTTGCCATCCGAATCTGTAAAGCGCCAGGTCAAGGCAAAAAGAAACAATCCCGAAGAAGCACGGCTAAATGCACCAATCGAGGTTTCGTTTCGGCACTCAAAGATCACTTCGGCTTCATCGAATCGGAAAATCATCTTGAAGACCTATTTTTCCATTTCACGAGCGTCGATGGAGACATTAAGGATCTCCTGGTGGGCTCCGAAGTCGAATACGCTCTCGTGAAGAAAGACCGACCCAGCGCCGAAGTTGTGCGTTTACTCGAGAAAGGTTCCATACCGAATCTCGAACTTGTGTCGGATGAGGTCATCCCAGGTAAAGTTGTCCGTTCTCTTCGCTGCCACAATCCAGATCAGGTGCCGTACACCGGCTTGATTGAAATGACAACAGCGGCGGGCTCCAACGACGAATCGAAAGAAAATGAGGACGCTGACAATGAGGATGAAACTAATGCCAACAGTGAATCGGGAAAAGCCTACGAGTTCAGTGTGATGTCCCTCGCGAAGCAGGGAGAGGTCCTTCAGAAGAACGACCTCGTCGAATTCCAGCTCGCCACCTCTAAGTCAAGCGGGAAGGTCTTCGCCGTCAACGTGAAGAGCGTCCGTAAGGTCGCGACCATCGAAATGATGAAAGGACAGCTCGCTTTCCTCAACTACGACCTCGAAGGAGGTCGGAAGTTGTCCTTCAACACATGTGACGTCATCGAAAAGATGAAGACCGACTTCTCGGCGGGCGACGTTGTCGAATTCGACTTGGCTCGCGGCCGCAATAACAAACTGGTCGCCACCAATGTCAAACGCATCCGTGAAAAGGAAGCTAGCCCTCGACCAGCCGCGCTCATCAACCGCATTAAATCGATGGCCATTTCGGACGATGGTCCTCGAGTTGTCGCCATCCGCCAACCGAAAGGACCTGACGGCACTCGAGGGTTCCTGCTCGCCGAAGCGGCGGCCTAGATCTTCCTCTCCCGCAGAGGAACTCCGAACAAGCATTCGAGCTCGAGCCTTCGCGTCGAAGATTGAAACGAGAAAAAAAAACAGAAAACCCGGAACGGAAGTCAGTAAATTTCGGTCGAGGACTCCCCAGATCAGTGATCGGAGAAATTTATATGCGGTTAAACTTGTTCGTCGATCGATCAGTCTATCGATCGGTGAACGAGAGACGGTCGGCGAAACTTTTCAACAGTATCTATGTGCATTTCGTTCCTTCTCATCGGCTCTCCCGGGCGACGCGATTGGAATGTCGTTATTATTGTTTTTTCTTGGCATTGGAGCTTCACCGCAAGTACGTGCCCATCCCGTCGCTATCGATACCGAAACATTTTAAATTGTCTTTCGAGAGATAAACTCACGGTACACGCTGACCTATTCAACTTCGAAGCTTGTCTTTTGAAGAAAATGAACAGAGTGCAGGAATTCCTCTCGCGAACAGCGTCGTGACCGGTGAATTCGTATTCCTGTTCAAATCAGGGCAACCGGTCATGGGCCATCGGGGAAGAAAGATCAGTTCCCATTGTTTGAAAGTTGTCGCCGATGGCCTGGCGTCGACGGAGAAAGCCGGACCGTCGAGTTTCATGAATCTCCTCTCTCTTCTTGAACGACGTCCTCAATTCCACGGGAAGCGAAACTGACGTGATCACTTGAAGAAGTGTTCCCCGTCACCGCGATGAGCGTGATGTGGTGGATTAGATCCCCTGAAACGTTGTCATTGAATGCTCATCCGTATAAAATCCGAAGGTTCGATAACCAAGCGAAGACGAAAATTGATTCGAGAACGAACGAAATTCTGAGAGATTTCCAGGTCTCTCCTTCCGGTGAAAACAAGCGCACTTAACGATTACGAAAAAGAGGAGATGGGAGGTCGAAAGTCCCGACAGCGAAGCAACCACTTCGTCCTCTAGTATCCGATTCTGGTGAAGTTACTTGCCTATCTATCTACCTAGCCGGCCATACAACCACTCGCCCGCATACCCACCTTCCTACCAGCCTACATAGCTGCCCAACTAACCATCCGAGCTTGGGGGAGCAGCCTACCGTGTAACAACAAGAACTCAGGAGGGACTAAGAGGTTCAACACGATAGCTTCGGCGCATTCTGCCAAAAAATCTGACCCCGTTCCCACAACGGACCGTCGAAAAAAAATGTAAGACGGCAGGAAACAAGCCAATGGAACAAGCCTGCTCAAATATTGAATCTAACCGATGCGAAGAAGCAAGGAAAAAAAGAAAAAACAACCAATTGAACAACCACATAATCATCAACAACAACAAGAGCATCTAAACACACGTTTAACAACGAGCGAAAAAACCTAAGTCACAAGCGAAAAATGACACATTTACGGGGGGATGTTGAGCTCCATCATTTTCTTCTTTGGATATTTCGTACCCTCGAGAAAAACGATTGAATATAGTCGGCGAACACCTTGTACTCAGCAACAGAAACAAGAGCAGCAACAGAAAAGTCTCGGAGCCAGCTTGAGATTCAGAACTTCTGAGTATGAGAATCATCAATGAGAAGAAACACGAACGCCGACAAACTTTACATCGGAAATAGAAGGAGCGAGAGAGTAGGCAGGAATCAAAGAGAAATTGTTTTCGAAACGTGTAAAGATTTCCCGCGATGATCAAACCTGAAATAAAGATCATTTTGTCATGTGGTCGATGTGTCAAACCAATGAAGAGCAATCATTCCGGATGCCCAATGTACATATCTGTCAGAGATCGAAAACGCCATACAGTACTGAAAGCGGACGAACGTGTGGGAAAGGTGTCCTATCCAGGATAGCAGGATGCCCCAGAACTTTATACATTTCTCCACTGGGCGCGACCGGGAAAATGTCGCCAACCTCATTTGTATTTTGTATTTATTCATTAGTGTGATGAGCGGTAGCTCGCGAGCCGGAGGGCTGCATTCGACAGAGTGAACTAGGGGGGAGGGGGTTTGTACCCGGCGAGAAGGGCTTCTTTGAGACTTTGTTTGAACTTATCATTCTATGTTTACGAAAGCTCCCGCAAGCTGCAAGGGATGTGCAACCATCTTCGTGTACTTCGGTGGCCGGAATGTCTTGGATTGACCTCCTCCCTAACTTCTTGTAACTAGGAACTCTCCATAGGCGACCCCGATCCGGTTCGGTTGTTGCTTTAGAGAGCTATGAACGGAAATGCTGACAAAGCTGATCTGATCCCTCCGTCGAGATTTTGACGATGTGTTGCGTTCGAGGCCAACTGCATCGACCAAGCTTCTTCCGGGAACATTCGTCTATTGATGGAGATCCACTTCAACTCATTATTCACCGACTGATCGCTCTGAGCCTCTCGGTGGACGATGCAGCGCCCTCATTTTTTGCTCCATTGGATAAGAACCAGACCAAGGAACCTCCTCTGGCGACCAACACGGTCGAGACTGCGCCGACTATCTCCCGCGATGTCAAGCACAGTCAGGGGCGCAGAGACTTTCGAGGAGGGATGTTTTTTTCCTTCCCTCCGGACGAAAGCTTCCTCATACGGCTGCCCACAGCAGCAATCGAAGCATTTTTTTATTCGGCCTCCTCGCAAGGAACTCTCGGCCGTGAACTCTTTGGGAATGCATTATAAATATTTGCGTGCTGAAGATTGGATGTACCGCGAGTTGTCCTGAACTTCCGAATACTCGAGCTCCTCAGGGGACTCGGAGATGAGACCGACGAGACGGCCGAGTGGACAGTGCATAATTTTTCATGTGAAGAAAGTGCATTTCGCTTCGCAGCCGCGGCTCCAGAATGCTCCACCCCACACTTGCGCGAGAAGGCACCAATCGAGCTATAGGTTGTCTTCACCTATCAGGGCTCGCCAGAAGATATCCATAAGGCCACTGGACAAGAGGGTTCAGCCCACCTGCCGCAAAGAATGAACCATATCTCGATCCCCGCTCCCTGATCCCCTCGCATCCCTTGACGACTACAACGCCTCTACGGTACGGTGTCCGGCGGTGCTCGAAACGAGGAATGTAGAATGAGCTCGGAGAGAGTCCAATGGGGCCAGAAAACTCAGTCGAGGGTATCGGGGAACGTCTCCGGAGGGGCGCCCGGTCCGCAGTCTGCTCAGGGCATCGCCGATATGGTCCTGGTTTACCGGTGTTCGGAGTCACGCTCTGTCGGTGTGTCCACCACGCCAGTTCCTATTCGGAATCGAAAATCCATGGAAAAATTGCGGATTTCAGATGTTCAGATACTGGAATACTTTCGGAGAAGGGTCAGGGCTTCGTGTAACCGGGGACTTGGCTGCTCCCTGTCGTGAGGGACGGTTGAGCTCCGAAGACATGGCCACGAGGAGTCTGAAGGATTATTCTCGCGCAACGGCCCCATCGACTCAGTCAGATGAAACATAGATCACAACAATCATTCACACTCCAAATGAATAAAAACTTCACGGAGCGGCAGCGAAGTACAAACAATCGCAAACCACAATTCGAGCGGCAGAAACGAGCACTCAGGGCGGAACGAGAACCTTTCATAAATGATCATTTACATGAAATCCGGGGCAAGAGCTCTAATTGGGGACTTTAAAACGTCTTCCGACCAGACTCCGACAGCGAACCTCTGGTCCCGAGCCGAGCGCGCTGGCAGCGAACCAGGCTCGGCCGCTCAGAAGAGGCTCACGAGCACTCAGCATACACATGCAGACCTCTAGATGCGCTCGAACCTACAACATGTGCGGGAATACAGGAAGCCACGACGGATCTGAGAGGTTTGCTGAATGATGGGCGGACGCGCAGGCAGCCAGCCAGGCCGACGTACAGACGGTCGGACACACGCACGATTCGGGAGACAGGCTGGCAAGGCACACACGCAGAAGGAGGAGGGCTGGAATCCGTCCGTGTGTCCAACTTCAACTGTGGAGGAGAGAGAGACTTCTCGTGGCTGCTGCTGCTACTGCTCGGCTGGTCGACGGGCTGCCTCACTGGCGGTGCTTGGTATTGGTGGTTAGTTGGTGCGTGCTGGCTGGTAGAGGGAAAGAACACTAGGCACCCGCTACGAACGGCGGCGGTGGCGGCGGCAGACGTCGGCTGAACTCTGCGCCGTTCGAATCGGGCTGCTCGGCTCAGCCTCGGTCTCAGAGCAGCAAGCGACTGACCGACCGACCGACGGAGCCATCGGAAAACAAAGTTCTCCCTACTTCTCCTCGAGCGGGTTTCCGTCGATCCACGGCGCTCTTTTCGAACGTCAACTAGTTGTGTGACTCCGGAACGAGCGGCGTCGTCACGTCAAACTGCCAACTGCCAGAAAAAGGTCCCAGCCGGTCGTCACAGTGAGGCAGTGAGCAAGATCGCCGTCAGACATGCCCGTTCTGTTATGTTTGTCGCCATTGATCTAAACAAAATTTCCCGTGTCGGAGACCGGAGCCCCAATTTTTCAAGTGGAGATAGTGATCACGGGACCCGACTCTCTTCCGAGCGCGACAGGAGTCCAAGTTTGTGGTCAGTGGAAACCGGTCGCAGAAGACTTCCGTACAGCAGTGGAGGTGGTGCTGCTTGGTCGGAGTGAACGTCTCCGAACAAAAGAAACGTCTTCAAGGGATGAGTAATGCTTGTCAGTGTTCCCCCCCAGATGACCGGCGTCTTCATCACCAAGTTCTCGGAAGAAAACTTGACGCGTGTGTCAGAGCCGAACACAGTTCGGATAACAACAGTGTTCGATTCGAACCACATGTCATGGAGTTCTTGAAACTGGCGAAGCACTAACTCCGACCCGGCTGCCAGCGTTCGACCGACTCATCAGGCGTGATTGTCTGCAGGAGAAAACTCAACTTTAGAATATAAAACGAACTCTTAGTTGTGCCATGGTGGATTGAAGTTCGTGCCTTCGCTATCGACGTCATTTCGAGCCGATAAACGACCGATGACTTGCAACCCATGAGTCGAACGAGCTGCTGAAAACAAAGCACCAGTTGAACTTCGTTGTGAACGCAAGGCAACGCGACCTACTTCCGTTCCGGTCGCATCCACATGGAGCGCCGAAGTTACTCGAGTGGCAAGCGCGAACGCGAGCTGCTCCTCATCTACGACAACCAAGTCAAAGGCAAGTGGCTCACAATATCCATTCTCTGTCATCGTTTTTGACGTGACTTTGATAAGCTGAATCGTTCAACGCTGCCAGAAGCAAAGTTTCCGCGCCTCGGAATCACCCGAGACGATAAACTTTTGTGGAGCGCGGTACAGCTCGTGGAAGCACTCGATTCACAATCATTTTATGCTCGATCTCGAAGAGAGAAATCTCGGGGCTCGGAACAGGGACAAGGATTCGGTACTACTCGATGCCCGCCAGATCTAAAATCGGATCGAAAGGGAACTCGGTGATTTTCCCGCGATAGAGCTCCCAATCGGATTCATTCCGCCA